AAATTTTTTTTTAAAGTTTTGTAAAATTTGACCCGGCCGGGTTATGAGAACCGATTTATTAAGTTTGTATGGCCTTAGATTAGTTAAGCTTAAAAAATTTTTTTAATAAATTATTAATTTCGCCCATATGTATGCAAATTTTGTGGCGCAGATTTCCTGAACTACCAATCATATTTCAAGATCAGGTATAACGTGACACGATCAGGGAACAAACAACCGTTTGGTCTTATTTCTCAAGAAAATCTGAATAAGAAACCACTTTTGGTGCTCTAGCAAAAAGTTTTCCTTGAGCAATTTTACTATATAATTCGCCAACATCTAATCTTAATACAGTAATATAAACGCCAACTCTAACATCAATGAACTTTAGTGAATTTTCGCGATTGCTACTACATTTACTACATTAAACGCGTTCTTCCCTCCAAGTTTCTATTGGCTGTAAAATGTCAGATTTATAAAAATTTCATAACAGTTTTTTTGGGGTGTATTTTTTTTTAGAACAGTAGAATTAGGGGACAGTTTTAGGGGCAAAATTTATAATAAACAAATATAAATGGGTTTTAGATATGTAGAATCCCTAAATTTCATTTTAATACAATTTCATTATTTACGTAGATCTGCACAGTTACTGATGTCAAATTCTGAACCTGCTGCAAAACGTCTCTCCCTTGGTTCCAAACGTTCATTATCTTCTATAATAGCGTCTGTATCTCCTACTCCATTGGGCAAAAAAAATGCATCCAGAAAATTAACAAAGAGTAGCTTTAAGTCCCCATTAAACCTCGTACAAAAAGACCCAGAAATTAAAGCTTTGATGGAAAAACAGAAACAATTAGAAAAGGATATAGAGAATACAAAGGACAATATTCGAAAGATTAAATTATTATTGGCTTATCAAGAAAAGGTATATATATATATATATATATATTTTTTTTTTTTTTTATTTTTTTTGCATCGACTTTGACTTTTGCCAAATAATTTATACAATTCGACTTGAAATTAAGAATGAGGATGAGAATAATAATATACTTATAAAAAAATGGAGAAGTGCAAGTCAAAGTGCTGCGGAATGTTTATTTGAAAAAATACCAAAGCAACCTTCATTTCTTGAAGATACAGGATTCTCAAATTCTTGGAATTCAAATTGGGGATGGGAAGAAGACGAACAACAACAACAACAAAGATACAATTCAGATCAAGATGATGAAAATGACTGTGAACAACAACAAGACGATGTAGAACCGAAAGGCACGATGAAATATATGCTCGTGAAGATGGGAATTGATCTTGATCTGATCAAGTGGAATGAAGATGATGAATGTTTCGAGGATTGATAAATTTGTAATCACAATTATCGTCTAACATTGTTTAAATAATATACATTTACATATTATTTTTTAAATCTTTTCGCGTAACGAATGGCATAATATTCCTTATTTGGGAGTTCGCTAAAGCTTGTGCCCACGTGTCCATAACATTTTAATTCTGTAATTACAGAATTAGGGTCTATCGTTATAGTTGGCTACCCGGTAAACTACAGTAGAACTGTGAAAGATGCACCAATCAGATCAGGTGTAACGTGGATCGATTTTTTTTTTTTACGATAACTCCAATTTAGTACTGTATATGAAAACACCTTTTACGTGCTAACGAAAAAGATTCCTTGCAAAAGTTTGATATAATGTATGGTCTATTCCAACCCAACGTAAGGTTTTATTACTTTAAAAAAATAGTTAGAAGGCAGTTATATATGTAAAATTGCTTTCAGTCAATTTTTTTTTTTTTTACTAATGCCCCAAAGCTAGTTTAGACTCATTTTTCATCAATTTTAAGAATAATAGTACTCAAATGAAATTACTGATTTTATGGAAATTACTGAGTTTATGGCAATTACTGATTTTACGAAAATTACATGCTGCAGTAGAATCCAATGTAAATTATCTATATAGATACAAGTATTAAAACATTAGTATTAAAAGATTTCAAAGGTGTAATTATGTTAAACATTTGTAAATATATAATCTAACACAGTTAACCGTAATCTAATTGTTTACATAAAAAAAGAAATAATAAAAATTTTACAATCTAGGCTTCATGATATTGTTGTGATAAGAGATACTCTTCCCAACTAATTTTTCCACTTCAAAAATATAAACGAATAAGAAATTAGAAATGAATTAGTGAAATGTACATATCAATTAATAATGCTTATATGTATGGAAAACTTACTCATTGTTCATGTCATCTTCTAATAGTGCGTGATCGATCATTTCAACAATTTCTTCCATTTTCAAAACATTTGTATTATCTGAATCTTCATGGTCATCGGTAAATGCTCCGCGAAGCTCGTGACCATCCAAATAACCGTCTTGATTAGTGTCATGAATGGAGAAAAGGTAGTATAATTCGTCCTCATCCGATATCTCTTCGGGATGTGGGACGTCTTTTAGATGACTTTTTACATGTCTATCAAAGAATGTAATTTAGTGGAAATGAAAGCATTCAAAATAATCCAACGAATAAACTTACTCTTTGATCTTGGCCTGATCTCCATAATTTCTATGTTCACCTTGGTAATTTATTCTAACTTGTGCTATAACAAAATGTGAAGCTAATACTAAGAGTAGAAATAAGCCTAGGACTTTCTTTATAAGAATAAACGACATTTCCTGAATTTGTAAAGACTGTATATAGGCAAGTATTAAAACTTTGTACCTATAAGATTATCATGTGCATAATTTCATTAATAAAAATCTGATCCAATTGAAAACGAACACGATTTGTCACATCTAACGCTAAAGTTTATCGCCACAAAAAAAATTTTTAATTGTCATAACGATAATGAATTTAATGTATTTCGTGATGTTGAAGCTCAATTTTTTTTTCTAAAGATACTAAGGATTATTAATATTTGACTAATGGCTAATTCACTTCTGGTGTTGTTTGAAGTTCTCTTGTTACCGTATTAATAAAATGTTTATAGTTCTGCTCTGCATAATATCGATATTCAATCGATTTTTTTTACGTAGTGACATTTTTATGGGTGATGTTTAAGGTTGTTAAGATAATATCCATACTGTGGCATGGTATGTATTTTTGCCAGTGACATTCCATATCGATATGGCATGCCCGGGAAAAACCAGACTTCGATCATATATGATCGAAATCTGGTTTTCCCTTGGCATAGTGTTACAAATTGGCAAAATTTTTTCAATCGATTAGTTGGTTAATTATTTTTCCAGTTGGTTGCAACTAATCGAT